AATTGTTTTGCTCACACCTTGTTTAAGATGTTTGCAAAATGTTAGAGCAGGGGTTCCTGGCAGCCCATGAACTTGGATGGGGAGAAAAACAGGACTTTATTTTCCATAACCTCTAACTGAAATCTAGCTTCAATAATAGATTTAGGTCACAAAGTAATCTATGGACTCCAATCACATTTGTTAGCTTCAATAAATCACACTATCTGAAATGATCATACCCTAAAAACGGTATTGGCTGTTATCGATTTAATGGGTTAATAAAGGAGCACACTAATTACTCCATTACGTATTTGTTATACAACCCTTGAATTCGAGTCTGGATTCTTAGGCTCTGCTCCCACAACACGCTTACCTGGATCGTGCGGGGGCAGGGGAGCACGTCATACAAGCTCTTCAACTGTGATAAATGCCCTAGTTAACCTGAAAAGGCAACCCCAGCCTTGTTTGGGGCGAAGCTATTTCCCCTCCAGCCATTTAACCTGCCTCGTAGCAGACTCTCATCTTCACCCTGCAGCTAGTCAGGAGGCAAGGAGGAGCAGAAAGGGGGAGAGATGGGGGTAAGGGTAGGGGTAGGGGTAGGACTAGGTCACCCTCCCCAGCCCATCTGCAGCAGTGCCGACCTTGACAGTGCAATGATGGGGGAAGGGGGGTGTCCCTCTCTCATCTTACTCAGGAGAGAAGGGCAAGAGCTGAAGACCTCCCACGCAGCCGAGAGATGAAAACATGGCTTCCCCATGACAGACCCAGCCACCCTGAGTGTGATTAGCACTCACAGAGGGCAAGGACGGCCAGGGTGTGTGAATACGACTTTGGATTTAACCCTTATCCAAGGCTATTCTGCCAACACACGCAGCAGTTGTAAACTGTTTTTTGACATGGGAGAATTTTCTTCCACTTGCTAACCGACTGCCAGTATTGATTAGCAATTTAATCTGATAATCAGTCTTGTATATTCTTTATGACGCAACAATTTAGAGAGTCTGTTCCAAAGATTTTGAGTTTTCCTGGTGCCTCTTTTCCAACGACACGCAACTTCTCAACCTGCTCACAGACTCACACTCTTAGGGAGTCTGCCTCATCCCTCAAAACATACAAAAATAACTTTTCCCTACTTGTCAAGTTTGATCACCTTTCCTGTGGAAGGACGAATTTTATATGAATAAATTCACACCAATCAAATAAAAATGAGGATGAAAAAGCTGAGTTAACACACCTGCTCCACCGGCTTTAATGATGACGGTTTTATTCCCAAAGCTCTGCCAAGCAACCTGCCTTACTTCTCCTTCATGTGAGCGGGACACAATGATCGTGGGAGTCTGCTCATTGTAGGAAGAACGGGGTTTAATATTTGACCCTCCGTTGACCATCGCCCAAGCTGAAAAACAGAAGTGACTGGTTAGGCTGTTGGTGGCTGTGGCTTTCAAAGGAGAGTCTGGGGAACACCCAACCATGTCCTTCCGTTTAATATACATATGAAGCCACTGAGGGAGGTCATCTATTGGTATGGGACCAGGTATCAGTGCGTGGATGATACCCAGTTATATATCTCAGCCCCAGGAGATGTGGTGGAAGTCCTGCCCTGGTGCTTGGAGGCTGTTACGGTGTGGATGGTGAGGAACAATCTCTAACTCATTATTAAGATGGAGTAGCTGTGGATATGGAAGCCTTCAAATACCAGGAATATTCCATCTTTAAAGCTGGTTCTGGAGTATATCTTTCTGGTTTTTAACACGCTTTAAACTGGAGTGGGGCTGCTTTTTGCAACGGAGAGACATACTTTTATGCCTTAAAATCAGTAGTTTGGCTGACGAATTTCAGCAGTGCAATGGGAGGCCTGCAACAGGGCACTAGGGGACTGTCCCCCACCGTTCAGCCACAAGTGGCCCATTCTTAACATTTCTCCTCCCTTTTACTACCAACAGCTGGATTTTGGAGATGCCCCACCATCCAAGCACAGACGACAAGTGTGTGCTATTAGACTCATCTTAATAAAGAAACTAAATCAGAGTAAGCAAGCTGAGTTAGCAGGAACTCTTCAACGTCTTTGTTGGCATCTTTAATAATTGCAAGAGTCAGAGAGGGCAGAATGTTCATCAGCATGCCTGGCTTGGGAGGGGGGAACAGTCATTAGGTGAGCTCACAGGGGGAGGAACAGAGGAGAGGCATCAAACGGCTGTCTCCTCCATTGTGGGCTTGTTAGCTTGGCTCGCATGCTGCATTAAGCCACTCTCTCAGTTATGTGGATTTCATCTCCCAGAATTCCATGCTGGCTGAAGGGCACCCAACTCAAGGAAAGCTGCAAGAAACCATAACGTAATTTTGTCTCTGCAGTCACCATGAGTTAAACTCAACAGCACCTACTTAACTAACCACGAATCCAGCACTAGCCACAGGAATCACTGCCTGCTCCTAAGAACCGGAGCACAGCTTGAACTTTAATCAATCAGGATTGAATTCTCATGCAGCGCTAAGCCATAAAGTGATTTATGTCTGATTTTAGCTTAATGCAGTGTTTCTCAACCTTGGCCACTGGAAGCCGGGTGGACTTCAACTCCAAGAATTTCCCAGCCAGCCAAGGGAGTTGAAGTCCACCCGGTTTCCAGTGGCCAAGGTTGAGAAACACTGGTTTAATGTATCGGCTGAATGTAGCTGCTGTGGTTTGGAAACCAGAGTTTGTGGCTTTGTGGAATGCGTCAACTCAGCTACAGAATGCGAATGCTGGTAAGTCAGAACCAAGTAGCAAATGGGCAGAATTAGCCTGAAACATTCAAGCTGGGGATCACAGAGTTAACTAGATGTATGGGGGGAGGGGATAATTTGCCAGGTTATTTGCAGGACCGCCTCTCTCTGAGGGTATCCACCCCTCCACTAGGTCTAATAGGATGGGTGCACTCCAAGGCCCTTCCCTTAAAAGTTGCCACCTAGTGGGACCCAGGCAACGTCCCTTCTTGGCACCTGCCCTGCCCTTCAGAACAGTCTTCCTCCTGAGATCTGGCAGGCCCCCACCCTCCTAGCCCCCTGAAAAGCCTTAAAGGTCTGTTTTTCCCACAAGCATTGGGGGAGCGTAAGGCTGGAGCCCAGAAAAGTTCCTGTGTGGGGATGTGTTGCAGTTGGAGGTACCAGGAGAGTCTGTGTTCTTCTTCTATTATTATTTTCTTGTTTTTACTGTTGTTTGTGAGCCTCCCAGGGTTATATTATGTAAGATGGGCAGCTGTATACATTTTATACGTACATAGCTAAATTTAACACGTATTCCCGCTATTTCATCAACCAGCACAACTCAGATGCACTACAACAGTGTTCATAAATCTTGCTAAGATCTGGGAATGATCCTCTGGAGAAAGGGATTCGGCTGGACTTCTGCGCATATTTGCAAATCACATTACATAGACCTGGATAGGACTGCCCAGGAAGGAAACCATGGCAGTGCTGGATTTGGCTGGTTAACCATTTCCTGACCATAATTATGGAATGGAGGGGATGACAATTCCATGGAGATCGACACCAGAGACAGTTTAAGTCCTTCAGATGCTCAGATGCGATGTTTCTCATCCTCTAGGGCCTAATGACTCGTTATAACTATCAAAAACCTCATGAGTTGAAAGGGAGAGGCCACTCACCAGTATATCCAGAAAATGGCTTATGAATTACTCCTATTACTGGTTTACCATCTACAGCCGCGCACACCATTGTAGTAACATACTGTGGAAGATTCTCTGAAGGGAAAGGAAGAAAAACACAAAGGTGTTACATCCATGTAAAAACCATCATGTAAAGTAAACATGAAAGCGCTGTAACTTTGTAAGATTCTGCAAGAGAGCTTAACCTGTCAGTATTCGCCACCTGGGTACCATCCAGAAAAGCTGATCTACATTTCCCATTGCCCCCAGCAAGCACGACCATCACCCAGGTTTTGGGGGGGAATGAACGTTGGATTAAATCGTATGCAGAGGGCACTAGGGTTGGGGAAAGTGGGCACATGCTATCAAGCTGGGTAGGTCATTGCATTTTAGGCTACTATGTCGTATTACATGATTTCTAGATGTATTGAATCCTGTTCTTCCCCTGCCCCCAATTCAGGGTGCAAACATTTTATCCATTAATATGCCAGCACAAAATATGCCCTACTATTTAGTAGATGTTACTACAATTCACAAAGTACTTGGAGAAGCAGAAATAGAATACATATTAATGTCTTTCTTTCACGTGCGAGATCAAAAGGGTTTCCTCTTTTCTGTAAAACTCTGGTGAAACACAGTTAATATTAAGGAAAGAGTTTAAAGTTGACAGTATCTCTGGCTCACATGTCACGCCACACAACATCTTGACAGTGGAGAAATGTTTGCGCTTGCTCCACTCATTCATCTTTTTGCAGAAACTATAATTTGAAAAGCCTTAAAGATCTGTTTTTCCCATAAGCATTGGGGGACTATAAGGCTAGAGCCCAGAAAAGTTCCTTGTGTTGCAGTTGGAGGTACTGGGAGATTCTGTGTTGTTCTTTTATTTTATTTTTTAACTGTTTATGAAGTAGGGTTATAGCAGCACTCCTGGTGTGATTACAAAATAGAACTGACATCCTGAAGCTCAGCACAGAAGGGAAGGAAGAGTATGAGCTGCAGTGCCAAACCAGAGCTGGGATTACACCTGGTCAGACTCAGTTTCTAGAATATTAAAGCATCACTCTGATTTAATAGTATTTTTTCTGTATCTATGGAGATGCATTTTTCTATTTCAAACCCAGACAAAAAGAAGCCAAACAGTTTTTTTTAATTCACATAGCCTATAAATTCAAATACTAACCAAATGCTTTACCCTGGGTGCCTAAAATAGTAACTTCCCTATTTTTCAACATGATTTACGTTAGCCTAAACCTTTACTGTAACAGTCGACAGCTCTGCTAAAATGAAACACCATTTTTTCACTGGGAAATTCTGCCAATATTATTTCTTTTGATAAAAGAACAACTAGGTGTTGTAAAAGCAAAATAGAAAAGATCATATGATTAGCTTACATAATCCAGACAGGAAGAGTTCTGCAGTCATCCTAATTCTCAAGTCATTTAGTAGTAAAAAAGAAGCTACATAGAGAAGCAGCAAAGAAATTTCTGTCTTGCTACCTGTATATTCCTGAGTTGCATCTAATGGATCGATCCACACGGTCACACTTTCTGCATGAACCAATTTAGGCTGGATTTGCCTCTCGATATCTTCAGGAATTGTGCGGTCCCAGGAAACTAGCTCCTGGTCATCTTCATCAACTTGTTCTTCTGTATTTATCTAAAGCAAAAGCAGAAATACACTGTAATGAAATAACTGTACGTACTTATCCCATTGACCTACAGAGCAAGTCCCTCACAGTCATGTTCAATTTCAGGAAGGGAATTTCTCTCATTGAGAAACTCAAAGGGAAGGTTGAAAGGGCACGCTCCCTCCAAGGAAGCTTGACTGTTGTTTAAAACCACAATAATAGACGTTCAGACATAACATAGTCCAAAAATTAGGAAAATGCCCCCAAAGAAAAGGCCTGCATGGTTCACTGGCATCTATCAGAATCTATTTGGGCAAAGAAAGTATCATTTAGAACAGTGTTTCTCAACCTTGGCAATTTTAAGAGGTCTGGACTTCAACTCCTAGAACTGAAAAGTTCAAATCAAAGAGTTCAATCCCCCAGCACTGGCTGGGGAATTCTGGGAGTTGAAGTCCACACCTCTCAAAGTCGCCAAGGTTGAGAAACACTGATTTAGAAAGTGGAAGACCCGTCCTAAGAAGGAAACAAAAAGGAGCACAAACTCTGGCAAAAGAAATGCAAAGAGACAGTGAGGGAGGCAAACAGACGATCGGAGGAGCAGACGGCCAAAATGGTGAAGGCAGATAACAAAAGATTCTTCAAATACGTTAGAAGCACAAAGCCATCCAGAGAAGCCTTTAGGTTCAGTCCCTTGGATGAAGGAGTCGAAGGTGTGCTAAGAGGAGAAAAGAAAACTGCAGAGAAGCTGACCAAAATCCTTGCTTCCGTCTTCACAGGAAAAAACGGGGGCGAGGGTGGGCCTGGGCCAGAGCTCCTGTTCTCTGGAAGGGAATTAGATGAACTGAGCCATACCATGTGGTGACAAGTACTAGGCCTTCTTGGCAAACTGAACATCAACGAATCACCAGGCCCTGACCACATCCACACAAGAGTTACCAAGGAGCTTAGAGCTGAGATGGAGGACCCCCAACTAAAATATACAACCTTCTCTACACTCAGACACTGCACTTGGGGACTGAAAGGTGGCCATCGTAACTCCAATGTTTAAGAAGGGCTCACGGGGAGATCCAGGAAATTATAGGCCTGTCAGCTTAATATCTGTTCTGGGGAAGATAGCAGAAGATAACATTACCAAACATTTGAAGACGCAGACCTTGCTCAAGGATACCCAACATGGCTTCCCTAAGGGAAAGTGCCCTCTACTAGAGTTTTTTGAGGGTGCTAATAAACATGTGGATACAGGTGAACCAGAAGACAATGTAAGTAGATTTTTTCAGTCTTTGATTAAGTCCCTCATTGAAGACTTCTCAATAAGCTTAACAGCCAGAGAAGAAAAGGGCAGGTCCTCTTGTGGATAAGCAACTGGCTAAAGAATAGAAAACCAAGAGTAGGAGTAAATGGACATTTCTCACAATGGAGGGACGTAAGTAGTGGGGTTCCGTCCTAGGACCAGCGCTTAGGATCTCCAATCAGGCATGACTAGCAGAATAGCCAAGTTTGCCGATGACACTAAATTGTTCAGAGTGGTAAAACCATAAGGGACTGCAAAGAGCTCCAGAGGGATCTCTGCACATTAGAGGAATGGGTGTCAGAATGGCAGACGTAATTCAAGGTGAGCAAGTAAAGGGATGCACACTGGTGCCCCAAATCCTAACTACCAATACAAACGAACTGGATCAGAGCGATCAGTGACTGATGAGGGAAGATCTTGGAGGAACGATAAACAATTCAATGAAGGTGTCAACACAGTATGACTCCACTGTGAAACAGCATGTTAGGGAAAATAAGAAATGGTACTGAAAATAATGTCAGCATCATAATGCCCTTACGTAAATCAATGGTGTGACCGCATATGGAATAATGTGTCGCTGCAACTTCCCGGTTATCACCTCTGAAAAAGGAGACAGTGGAGCTAGAGAAGGTTCAGAGGAGACAGCTGCGATGATCAGGGGCTGGAGCAGCTTCCCTGTCAGGAAAGGGTGAGACCTTTGGGGCTTTTTGGTCCAGAAAGGAAGCAAACAAGAGGGGACACGGTTCAGGTGTACCAAATTAAGCATGGTGTGGATAAAGAGGCTAGTTTTCCCTTCCCCAAATACTAGAAGCAGAGGTCACCCAATGAAATTGAATTTTAACTATGAGCTGCCCAGAGTCACCCTCTGGGGGCGATGGGCAGCATATAAATTTGATAGATAGATAGATAGATAGATAGATAGATAGATAGATAGATAGATAGATAGATAGATAGATTCTAGAAGAATCAGGACAGGCAACCTTGATTTGGCTGGCTTCAGAAAAGGATTGGATCAATTCATGGAAGTCCTGGGGATCTTAGCCTTGGTGGCAGTGGGACAGCCTCTGAAGGCCATCTGCTGGGAGCCTCGTGGGCTCCCTGGTGCAACTGGTTAGCCACTGTGAGAACAGACTGTGTATGGCTCTGAGAGCTGGACCATAAAGAAGGCTGAGCGCCGAAGAATTGATGCCTT